TGTTCCCATGATGGGATCGGATGACTGTGTTCTGAGTGGCCAATCTGCCCAAGGGGAGTTTCCCTAGGGGTGTGGCCTGCTTCCAGGATATCCAGGGACATCCTGGGAAGAGAGAGCTTCTTCTGTGGATCAGGACCCTGGTGTGCTGCCTACAACCTTCTGTGAGTGAGCAGCCCTCCACTCGGCCTGCAGATCTTGGATTCGTCTTTCATTGGAGTCAACAACCAGTGTACTGCCTGCCAGCCTTGAGCTTCTCGGCCCCCTGTGGTTACGGAAGCTAAGGCTGCCTCCAGCCCCACGTTTCCTCCAGGGACTTTGGACTTGCCGGCTTCTATACGTTTATAAGCCATTTTCCTAAGATAAATTTCTCTCTCTCTCTCTCTCTCTATATATATATATAAGCTTTGCTGGGTTTTGTTTCTCTAGGGAACCCAGTCTAACACAGGCACTAAGCCACCAGAGCTCCTTTCTGGATTCATAGTAACTTGTTATTTCATATTTTCTCATATATTCAGATGAATATATATTCAGATGAATACAGAATATACAGCTATCACACGAGGAGAACAAGAATTAACTGTTAAAAAAACCCTCGCCAAGCTTATGCTGCAGGGCCGGCGAGGAAGCCTGTCCCCAGAAGGCTGAGGGGCCAAGAGGAGCTGAGCGCCGTCCTGTGCTGAAGAAGGCTTTTGCACAGATGCTTCCTGAGCTCAACCCTGAGTTGTAGCCCACTGATCCTGATCTTAACTTGTAACCTGCTTGCTTTCTTAATATCCCACCTAACTGTAAAAACTAAATCAATCCTTGCCAACAAAAAGATCGGCCCCCATGCCACGCTCTTATCTTCAAAGCAAGCCTGTAATCACTAACTCATCTGACTTTGAGGAAGCGTCTGTCAGTTCTAGAAGGTCACTCATAAAAATGGTACCTCCAGAGGCAAAAAAAAAAAAAAAAAAAGGGGGGAGGGGGGGGGGTGGGGACCAGCTTTGCTGGTCCAATAGAGCCTGGTGGAACCACTGAGACTATGGCCCCTAACTGCCCTTCAGGTCTGGAATTGAACCCACACCTGTGGCTTCCAGCCAAACAAAATACAGGCATGTGAGTTAAACATTTACCTCAAGTAGACACACGCCCTGGAGAGAACAATCATGGGAGAAGGAAGGGCTGCTTATGCACAGGAAGACAGCTCAGGGGGCAGGAGAGTATGGAGGGATGGTCACTGGGAAGAGGTAACTATGGGGAGGAAGTGGGAGGGGAGCTGCTGCATTGTGGTAAACTGTGGTCAATGTCATGAGACAAAGTGTATGTGAACTGCTGTATGGAAAGTGAATTGGCTCTGTAAATCTTCACCCAACTCACAATAAAATAAAAATGGTACCTCCAGAGAGGAACACAGTGATGCCGTGCAATGAGGGCCGAGTAAAAGGTGGCCTCATGCCGTGACGTGTCCGGGAAGATGGCAGTCCCTCGTGTAAAACACTGCCTGGCTAGAACACGCTTCTGAATTTTGACTCTCCGTGGAGATACTCAGAGTCCTTTCCAACTCCCCGTGACGTCACCCTGCGTTAGGCACACTCACGTTAGGCACACTTGGGGCAGTAAACAGCAGGGTGGAAAGGGGGGGACAGGCAGAAAAGGGTGACCTGTGCAGAGCAGCAGCCCCTCAGGCCCACTGTGGGGTGAACACTCACCTGCCCCGTCCTGCCACCCACCCAGCTCCAGCCCCGCTTACCACGCTCTCTGGAAAGAACTCCCCATCTCCTCCCCATCTTCTCTGACAGGTCGTTGCCTCTCCTGCCTGGCACACGCCTGCCAGACAGGGACACCCCAACGACTCTGCTTCCCTGGAGTGACAGGTCAAGCAGCAGCAATCTTTCCCAGCCAACATGCCTTGAGGACAGTGGGGGGAAGGGGTGTCTCCTGTTCCCCACTGCCACTGCCGGCTCCAAACCTTGTGGAGCCCAGCTGCTCTCAAAGTCCAGGCCCGACAGCTGCCTGGCCGACCCCTCACAGCTCCCACCACAAGCTCCCGTGGACAGCTCCTGCTCCACTCCGCCCAGGTGGCCAGTCCAGCTCCCTGGCCCCAGCCCACACCCCCTCCACCACCAAGCCTTGCCCTCTGTCCTTCAGAAAAAGCCCGCCCCAGCGTCACTGCCAGCCAACTGCTGCCCCTCCCGAGCCAGCATTTCAAAGACCCAGCTTCCTGAAGACGCTTTCCCTCCAGCTGTAGTGCCCACTCCAACAGCCTCTGTGTGCAGACTCCCAGACGGACACCTCGTGGCGCTGTCACCACCTGCCACCCACCCTGGTCCTCACCGCCTTCCCTGCCAACTCAGACCTACACTCGCTCCCCTGCTCCCCAGCCTCTGTCCTAGCGGGTCCTTCTGTCATACAACGGGGTGCTGGGGGTCAGAACCAACCCGACGGGCCCTAACACCCTGCTGTCCTCCCTCCCTGTGCCCAAGCCGCTGAGTTCCGCCAGAGAGA